TTATAAAAATTGAATATGACATGGAAATATTATACTGAAAAAAATCTAAAAAGTTAAAATAAATGGATATGCAACCGTGTTATGATAATTTTTTTTCTACTTTTCAAAAGCTATACCTTCAATAATATATTCAGTGGCCTTCATTTAAAAAAAAATTGAAAATTTATTGATCCAATAAAGCCTTGTATAGTTATATGATACAAAAACATGATCTAAAAAAGTGTTCTATAGACTTATTTATCTGTTAGGATTAAGAAAAATTAAATTTTTTATTTGGTTGAATGAAATTATAAAATTCATATTTACATTAGTAACTAGTAATAAGCCCATTTTCAAATATTTTCTCTACTGTTTATCTCAGTTAAAATGTTTAATAAACTTTTTTACTCATTTTTAGAAATTATATTTTTTTAAAAATAATTAATAAAAAAGCATTGCTACGGTTTGTAAAGATTCTTATTTTTTTTCCTTTTGTTTACACTTTGGAAGAACTTTAAAAAAAATAATGCAATCTAATGTCTGTAATTATTAAACTACTATTTACTATTACGTTTTATTTATATTATTACTATTACAGGATGGCGTGTTGCATGTATTCCCTAGATAACAAATATGAGTTGAAAGAAGTACATGCTTTGATATTTTACATTTTTCAAGTTTGAACTGTTGTATTACTTTTCATGGTTCATGCATGTATTTAATTTCTAGTGATTTGTTAAAATGATATATGATTCCATTGTTTTTTATTAGGATAAATTTTTACTGTGAGTGCACTAGAATTAACTTTTAATCTTATATGTTAGCTTCGTAAGATTTGTAATTGGGAACCCGAGACACACCCATGTCTCCCACCACTACACTGAGTTAGGGTGGCTCTTCCATTTCTTTAAGAAGACAATATTTCCTAGGCACATTCCTATATCAAATCATCATCCTTCTTATGCCTACAACCTTCTCCAATTCAAGTCCTCAATCCATTTCCTTACCACAAGATCTGACCCCTTCTCACAGACCTGCCTCATTCCAAAATTCCTTTGTTGCCCGCTCAGTCAATTTCTTGAATTCCCTCCTATTTCCCCTCTAGAAACCTCCTATTCCGATTCCTGTTCCAAAAACAGTCAGATACCTGCTAACTATTGACATTATACATGTATTTTATATCAATTATCATCATATGATAATACTGGTCTTTGCTAGGGATATTCCATGAATGTTCTACTTTTAACACCACTCAATACATCTATTTTTTATTTTTATTTTCACTAATATTTTTTTCTTATATACAATTAAACTCTTACACATATCTTCCTTCCAAAACAGATTATCATACTCTTCTTATGATGTATTAACATATTATCCAGCATTTACATAATTAGGTTTATATCAACAGATACAGCTTTCATTTTTCTTAGTAGAAACTTATGAGCTTATTTATAAGAAAAATTTAATTTTCTTTCTTCATTTCTTGAAGTGTATATATATACTGTTCAACCAGTATAGTTTTAAGTGTTTTGTTCATAGTTTTAAGTGCTTTGTTCAGAGCTTTAAGTGTTTTGTACAAAATTTTATTTGTTTTGTAAATGGCTTGTTCTCTTAGTGTTTTCTTTATTTTTATGGTTTCAAATTTTTATGCCAGAAGTAGTCTTTTCTTTTTTATCCTAAAGGTACTTTGTCCCAGAATAAAGTTGTTTTCTATCTATCTATCTATATAATTATTTTTTTCATAACATCATCATTTTGTAGTTTGTTGACGTTAATAAACCAGTTTGAGAATGTTCTTGTTTTTTATTCACCAGATACAAAGAATAATTCTTTTGCCGCATGGCAAACAATAAGACTTATTGAAGTACCAGCTTATATCTTCCCTAAGAAAATTTATTTATAAGCAAATGATAATTTTTTTAAACTCAATAGTCAGTTAATATTTATATCTGAGCGGCGCCGTGAAATGAATCTTGACTTTCCCACTCTGATTAGTTATCAGCAGCAACTCTAGGTAGGTAGCAGCCTCTAGGTAAGCGCCATGGGTTGGCAAAAAGGACCAAAAGACTTATTAACCGCATTGTTTCTCCCAATCGTACCAGTACCATTATACTCAATAGAAATCTCTGAAACTGTTTGATTGACATTTTTTTTTTTCAAATTCGAGCAAAAATAGTTTTGTCCTATGAAGGTTTAAAAATGAATGGCTTCATTTTTAAAAAGATTTATTACAACTATTTCATCAAAATATTCATTTTGTCTAATACCAGAATTTTTGTTATTCTTTCTTAGGCCAATAAACCTATTAAGACCACATCAAATTCAATATAGTCCAGTAAATGAATGCCCAGAAATAGGGTTTAGAGAGAAATGGAAAGAATGCAATTTTTATTGGAGAACAATGTTTTGCCTAGTTCGAACTTTAACATACTAAAAGTCTAACTTCTGGGGATGAGTTTATTAAAATTGCTATTTGAAAGTTTTCCAAGGTGTGAAATATAAATCGCAACCTTATTTCTTCTTAAAAAAATATTTTAACCCACTTTGCTCCTTTAGTTAGTACAAATTGTTCCAATATTGTACTTATACTATAACTATATACCAAATATATAGTTATATATTTTTTTTCTTTTTCTTTTTTTCTAAACTGGAAGTATATATAGAGTTAAGATTACACGCACAAAACTGGGTACGTTGTCTTGATTCAGTCCAAGAATAAGAATAAAACATGGAATGTAGATGTTATACACGATGTACAAATTGGATCCCATTAAATTTTTTTTTAAGGATAAACAAAGTTTATATACGTTTTTCATAACAAACTTCAACTTTGCTTATCCTTAAAAAAATATTTAATGAGATTTTGGTATATAACTTATTTGGTAATAATTTTGGCAGTAATTCATTAATATTTGGTAATAATTTAGGATTTAGTAATATCCTAGTGTGATGTAGCAGCACCAATGAACACTACAATTTTTATTGGTCTGTGATCGTTTCCTTCCAGCAGATTTAAAACTGTCCTATGATTAATAGTTGTTTTTGATGTTCTGGAGTAGAATGTTGGGGGATCGGAGTGTTGATTAAAGCAGTATTAGCCAACATTCAGTCTGCCATGTTTTAAGTTCCTTTCCTGTAGAGTAATAGCGGTCATATCCCCATGAAGGTGAGTTGGAGTTTAAGTTACCAATCATCAAGCAGTCATCTTTAGAAATCTTCATGCTATTAAGGAAAAGCAGTTCATCACTAGGACAAAAAATAATTAAAAATTTTTATTAAGCTATTTCTAACTTTTAGACATATGCCTTTCATTTCTGTTTTATAATTACTACACATCTGTAGAGAAGGAATAGATTTTACTGGAATAGAGTTTCTTGCCAAGGTAATTTCCCCCCCCTCTAAATCGCGGGGCTCGGCCCATCCTGAAGATCTGATAACCGCATATTCTGTTATATATACCACACAGTCTGGGATTCAAATAAGTCTACTGGATACATGCTATATCAATGTATACATCATACAGTCTTTTGGTTAACAGTATGTTTTTGTTTGCAATGCCTTCAATATTCCATTGTAGAATTCATAGGATGGGTTGTGCTATTGGTTTTGGGAGAGGAGAAGCATTCGTTCTAGCTCCCCTCCTGCCATTCCTCACTCCTAGCTATGGGGGGAGGTTACTACCTGCAGAACAACTTCGCCCCTATTGAATTAGGCCAGATGCTCTAGTTTTCCAATGGGATTTAACAAAACAGACACATTGTTCACTACGTCTTGTTATGTTGGATTTCACTATAATTGAGAAGTAACTTTCAGAACATCAAGAAAAATATAATTTAGCAGTACATTTTCTTTAACAATGATTCAAACTATGATTATGGAATTTCATTAAAAATGTATTGCACATTAAACAGATTCACACACACACAAAATAAAATAATACGCAAACATAACTATGAACAAATAAATCTATATCAACTAATAAAAATTAAATTATAGAACAAAATAAGTGTGGATGATAGAGCACTGATTATTTATAGTTTTTAAATCTAACTAGTTTTTATGTGCCACAGCCTTTTACAATATAAATAAGAAAATAAACTAATTTTCAACACTTCATAAAATTATTATTATACAATTATTTCAGTGAAAATTAAATAAATAAAAAAAAAGACTTCTCGCTTACACAAAAATATGAACTAAATGACAGTTAAATAAATGTAAGAACATGAAAACTGGTATTTAGAAAAAATCTTATCTTGTAAACAGTTAAAATAATTATATAAATTTATTTTATTCATTTAACTAAGAATATAACATTTCAAAAAGAAAGATATCTTTTAAAAATTAGTTCTGACAAGTATAGTAAACTGAAGAAATAATTAATCATATAGGTTTTGAATAAACAGTAAACCATGAGTTAACAGTTAACAGTAAACCAGTATAAAAATGAGTAATTTAATTATAATGTTCTAAAAATAAAAACTAATAGAGTATGAAGCAACTCAAACAAGATAACTCAAGTTTGAGTAAAAAGTAAAAGTTTGAGAGGCTAAGGAACTATTTCATAAATGTGGTGTAAGAATGATTAAATGTGATTACAAGAGTAATAATTTGGGTATATTAACTAATTAAAAGTAAAAATTTCTATAATAAAGCGTGTATATTTTTTCCTGATTAATATATTTGAGATTCTCTCTAGCTACAGAGGAATAAAAATTGAAAAATAGCTTTCAGTTTTGCAAAAATAAATTATGATATAACTTATAAGAGAAAGTATGAATTACGAAATAATATCATGTGACTTTTACAACCATATTAAAAATATATACAGACAGAACCATAAAAAATTATGTCTTTAATGTCATTATGAAAGTATGATGTCAGTATTATTAAGAGGGATTATTAAAAAAAGATAAAAAAACAAAATCAATAAATAATATAAATAAATAACCAACAACAAAAAAATATTATATCATGCAAATACATAACTAAATAACAATTTTTTAAAAAATTCTTACACATTTGGATAATCTTCTGGACAGACGATGTGCAGGTCAACACTGGGAATATTAGGTTGATGACCGATTATTCCTTGAGGACAAAGCGTCAAAATACATTCAAGTGGTGTCCATTCATTTTTATTTTCATTCGTAATTTCTAGCAACTGATCTCCATAAATGGCCTTTAACAAAAAAACATTTTTTTTTTTTGCTTAGATGATCATTGTAAAAATAGGTAAACATATATATACTAGATAAAACAAATAAATATAAAGTAACTCATTTCAAAGAAAAATGAGGATCTGAGTGAATTAGTTCCGTATTAATATTTATAACTAAATAAATGTACAGGGTAAGTGACTTATTCTCTAAATTTATGGATGTGAATATGAATTAAAACCAAATTTATTATAAATGAGTAATATTGTATAAAAAAAATTAAAATTTATAATACAAAGGTATTACAAATTAATACAGGAACAATAAGAAATTGTCTCAATGCATACAGCTAACTTCACCAATCGAAGTAATTATAATATAGCCATTGTGAAAAAAACACATTACAGTCAAAGTGATAGATGTAGGATTGATTCACAGTAACAGAATGAAAATTCAAAATTGGGACATGGAATGTAAAAACATTAGGACTGGTAGTTTTAAAGAGCTTCAATGATGTATGACAAAAGGGTAATAGTAGCTAACTAGTAACTAAAAAATATTTTATCTTTACAGCATCTTCTTTTATTACCCACGACTCGATCCACAAAATAACACAACATAAATTATGCAGTATATATACAGCTGAACTTCACGCAACAGCCTCACCTCTCCATTTCTGCATGTCGATAACTTCCAAAAAAATAGTAATAATGAGACTCACTGAGTTCTTTAAAAGGTATTAATAATATATATTCGAGACATCGGACTATTTTAAAAATCCATGCTTATTTAAACACACACGAAAATTTGAGAAAGTCAGTGTGGAGAGCCACCTGGGAATCACTGCAAATGAGCTCGTGAAGGTGGAAGACAAGTAAGCACCCATCTTCCAGGCCGGGGCTTACTTATGGGGGGCGCTGCCATTTTAACATCACATGCCACAAGCATTCCCCTCAAAAAGAAAATAGCTCTAGGCTGACAATCCATGTGGAACAAGAGGCCACCGAGCAAATTGAAGAAAATTAAACAATCAGTAAAACCATGGTCCATCTTGAACTGGCTGCAACCTTTAGCCAAAATGTTTAAAAGTTTTTGAAAAGAAAACAAATTCAACCCTCCCTTTGTCAGAAAGAATTAATTCAGGTACTGCATTCATTGATATCTAAATCTCTTATAAACAAACAGCCTGTATCAAAATGCCAAAATTGCTACAGCATTCTAACAGTCAGCCACATTTTTCATGAGGTCCTAATTAGGTATCAATTCAAACCAAATTACGATTCATACCAAAATTACCATTTGCTTTAAATAATGATGAAGTTAAAATGAGGTCCGTGATAAATTTTCTTAAACCTAATGATTTGCTGAGGAAAATTCAAATTGTTTATTTTATGTGTTTCCCATAATTTATGATGACCTAAAGGTTTTATGCCTCGAAGCCCTAAATAATAGCGAAAACTGTACATTACCTAATCTTCACCAACAGATAAAAACTTAAAATTCATGCAAGAGCCCAATTCATTCATAAACATGTAAGACAACTTTTGTTCATACATTGACCTCTTAAATAGTAGTAGCACATGTACTTATAAATTCTTCAAGCAACTAATTATAGTCTGTTAGAGCCCTTTTGCTAGATGAGAAAACTTTCAAAATTACATTTCTGAGTCGATATCTATATTAATCATAAACTTTATAAATTCTGGAGTCATAAACTACAACAACCTACCTATTTATCAAGGCGCTACAACTCTATGATGAGTCTTGGCCTCCTCCATCAGATTACTCCCACATCTCTGCTCTATGCAGCTGTCATCCATCATCTGACTCCCAGGATATTCAATGCATCTCTTGCTATACCGTCTGAACATCTGAGGTTTGGTCTTCCCCTTCTTCTAATGCTGTGGAGAGAAGGAGTTTTAATTCTGACAGAACCATCTTAGGAATTGCTTCGCTTCCTCCATCCTAGCCATGTGCCCAGCCCATCTCAGTCTTCCATGCTTCATTTTCAGAATGACATCTTTTTAATAAAAAATTGAGTAAATTTTGATGTCCGTTCACCTTCTCCAGCCTCCATTGATACAAATTCCTCCAAAAAAATGTTTAAAAACGAAGAATTTTCCTCTGAAAGACTAGATCTTGCTGAAATTTCTTACTAGTTGTCCATGTTTCTGATCCATACAAGAATACAGGGAAGATTAATGTTTTGTAAAGTTTGGTCTGCCATGATAGAAGGCGACTGATGAATTCATAGCGGAGGCCAAAGTAACACCTGTTGGCCATCATTATTATTTTTTCCATCTAAACCTCAGGAGTATTATCTAACCAGTAATCGCGAGTAACCAGTGAAACAAAATATATGAATTGGGCCACTTTATTAAAATTATAGGGGCCAATATTGATGGTCTCACCAGATTAGGAGACTTCTGTGGCCATATAAATTTTTCTTTTATTCACTCAGATTAAAAGTCCTGAAAGGGTTGCTGAGTTGTTTCCATTTGTGACAATCAATATCCGAGGCTGATTTTTGTTTCGTGTATAAACTTCAGGTAGGGGGGCTTCTAACCATTACTCCATACTCTAGTATAGTGATAGGCTACAACCTTGGTGCTTGTATACCTGCACCCCCTTCCGGGGAGGATAAATAGGGAAGGTGATCCTAGGGTGTATAATGTAAGTGACTTTAGTTTATAGTGTGGGAGTGAGTGTAGTGTGCTGTACTTATTGTATATGAGTGAGTGTCGGCAGTATACTGTTTCCCTAACCTGGAGGACCAGTGGCAATCTGCGGTCTTATGACCGGGGGATGGGGCTGTGACCTCCTTACACCTGAAAAATTACAACAATCAACATCGCTTATGATCATTCCTTCAAAAGAACTATCTGCCCAGATTAATAACCAACAGGATTAATCCTACTAACAAGGCAGAATGTCAGTAAATCTATATTTCTATATTCTATCTATAATCTAATTATATTTTTTTCAAAATTAAGATCATTATTTTTCTCCAAAAGTTCAATCTTTTGGTTTTTATCCTTCCTCTGTAAAGTTTCAAAGCAGTTTCAATTTCTAATCACACAGCTTAAGCACACCTCCTCTTCTTTTTAGATAATATATTAACAAACTCCATAAATCAATTCTTCACAGCTCCTATCTTCAATTTTAAACTTTATGGTGATGACTTCCAAATCTATTTACTGTTTTCTCCTTCTGAGTTATCTGCAGCATTTATTTACAAGATTCAAGAAGACCTACATTGAATCAGTGCCTGGACAAACTTAAATGGATTAAGGTTAAATGCTGCTCAAACTTAGCCAATAGTCATTGGTACTAAACCCTTTTTTAATCCTTAATATGCCCCATATTCAAAAAGGGAGAAACCATTGACTGTGGGAATTATCGGGGCATAGGCCTCCTACCTACCCTGTTCTTACAAAGTTCTTTCAAACATTCTGTTTCAACGACTTCTTCCATTCGCAGAAAGAGCACTAGGCCCTTACCATAGTGCGTTTAGAAAAGGAAAATCTACAATGGACCAACTATTTTGCCTCAAGATTATATTGGAAAAGGGACATTTAGTTCCATATAACAACTCATCATTTGTCGTAGATTTCAAATCTTCCTACGATAGTGTGGATCGAAAGAGTCTGTACTAAGCATTGAGACTAAATGTTCCTGCAGACCTGATAAAACTGATCAGGATGACCATGACAGACCTTGAATGCATTGTAAAAATACAAGGTGATCGATCTGAAAATTTTTTGTCTACCAGGGGAGTCCGCCAGGGCTACGCACTTCTATGTTTACTGTTTAACCTCACTATAGAATAGGCTATAAGAGATTCTGGGATTCAGAAGACAGGAACTATTATAAATAGAACAGTGCAGCTCCTATCATACGCCGAAGGTATCAATATAATTGGACGCTCAAAAAAGTCGGCTGAAGAAGCATTCCTCTCTCTAATGGAAGTAGCGAGAAAACTTGGTCTAATGGTCAACCATTATAAGATCAAATATACGATCGCTGAACAGCACCCAAGACATCCTGGGGAAAAGGTGGGATTTGGAAATTGTCTCTTCTAGTGGGTCTCTGAATTTACGTACTTTGGCTCACAGGTCACATGTGATAATGCCATTGAAGCAGAGGTCAAAAGAAGGAGATTAGCCGCAAACAGATGTTATTTTGGATTGAGGCAACATCTATCAAGCAGGTTAATAAGCAGAAAAACAAAAATTTCTCTGTACAAAACTCTGATTCGCCCACTCCTTACGTATGGAGCGGAGACATGGGCAATGGCAGAAGTAGGTCACATTTGAGCGAAAGATCCTCTGTAAGATATTTGGAGCGGTATTAGTTGGTGAGGAGTGGAGACAAAGAACAAATGAAGAGATTTACAACCTCTTTGGCAAGACTGACCTTGTTAATCTTATCAAACGATATCGTCTTTAAAATGAGCTGGATATGTGGCCAAGATGGAGGAACAGGAAAATCCTATAATATTACTGAAGGAGATAGTCGGTCGGAGGAGAGTTGGCTGCCTCCCAACTTCGATGGATTGACTGTGCGGCTGAGGATGCGAGGAGTTAGGGAGTCCACAACTGGATGGAAGCAGTGCTGGACAGAAACTTCTGGATGTTACTGGTTGGAGGCCTGGACGCGTCAATGTGTTGTAGCGCCAAACTAACTAAGAGCTATGCTCATTAATATAATTCATATTTAGTATTTTAAATATTTCATTATGACTAAAATTTATATTTACATATCAATCCACCATTATTACCGAGATTACCAAATTATTTAGACTAATAGTTCACTAATTTACCTCGCATTTCTGTCAATCATAAATAAAATTATCCAAAACTTCTCTAAAAGAATTTTAATTCACTAAAAGTGAATGATAAGAAGCAGGCTGTAATATAATCAGGCGTGGTTTATGTAAGTTTTAGTTTTTTTTTTTTTTCAGTTCTTAAGTCTGTACCAATCAGAAATTCAGTTTAGAGATATCTAATAGTCAATAAGTAGTGTTGCTTCAAAAACTCAATTTTACCAATAGTTCAGAAAAGGTTAATTGCCTTCTCATTTTTAACAGTTAATAATGGCAAGCGATCAATACCTATATATTATTTAAATTTTAGTATGCATAATATTTTTGGTTAATCCTCTAATACAAACGTTGGTTAACCCTCTAATATAAATGTAGATATAAATATTCTGCTCCCAACATAATATTGTTTTCAAAATTAAGCTGTGAAGCTACCAGCGTTCTCCTTCACTTAACCAACAAATAGCTTTTGAAGGTTTAGCCGACAGTTCGCAAAAATTATCATGATGCTGAAATAATCATCGCAAGTTTTAACAAGTTGATGCCTGACCAGACCCAGCACTTAAAGGTCGAAAAATATGTTTCAAGTCCATTTGGCTTAAATTTTATTCATTACCGTTGTTTGATTGCAATATAACAACCAGGGCCGTTATTGACAGTTACAGGTGGTTGGATATAGCGACAATGGACATGATATGACCACGATTGGTAAAACAATGAAGTTTACCCGGTCACTTAAAGGTCATTCATTATAAATGATATTTACTGTATATCAATTTTGATCTGAAAAAAAAAAATTATGCACTAAAAAAGTCGCCTGACATCTCTGGATTAGCATTGAAAATTCCTCATTTTCTCTGTCGGTCACCACCCTGAAGGATCAATACATCCATGTGGTGATTTGAGGAGACTACACCAAATATTAAACTATACCAGATACCTAGGTTCCTCGATTCAAAAAACCTCCATAAGAAATAATTTCCTAAAAAATAGATAATAGATAGTAGTGAACCTAGAATAACTCTATAAATAATTATAGAGAATAACTCCGTACCATCCTCAGCGTAATGGAAAAGTGGAAAGACTACACAGCACCTTGAAAACTGCAATGAAAGCAAATGGTTCACTAAACTGGTCACAAGCCTTAACAATTCTTTTGGGTTAACAAGCTTCATTCAATCTTAATACTGATGTTTACATTTCACACAGGCACTACTGTTAAGATGCTCAAAGAATTCCTTGAAGAGCCAGTTCAATTTATAAATGATAGCACAATAAACTAACGCATGGTAAAAAACATTTATTTCTCAAGTTCATGAAATTATGACAAAACTAAACCTGTTCTGCAAAAAACCAAGAAGACTTTATTCACAAGGACTTGGCTGATTGTTCTAATGAATTTGTGAGAATTGACCAATTAAAGAAACCTATGGGAACAGCAGCCCTTCACAGTGATATCCAGATCTCACAAATATTTGATTATGAAATTAAAGAGCAGAGTAACAAACATTTCAGTAGATTGCATAAACTTCGCTTTTCTCTTGGCATCACTAGAGTGGTCAAGAAGAGTATTAGTCAATCGTTAAAATTTCAACCTCAAAAATTAGAGAATTTTTTCTAAATATTGCATTTAATTTGAATCTTTAAGGAACATTTTCGTGACTGTGTCTCGGGGAGACAGTGATGTTCTTACATTCTTACATGCAGAACAAATGATAAGATTTTATTTTAATTATTTATTAAGTTTATTATCAATCAATTAAGTATGAGCATGATGACATTTTATTTTAAATATTTATTTTTTACCAATAATTGATATCGAGTATAATTCTTAATATCCCTATGAATTTGAAAAGGTGTTACTTTGTTTTATTTGATGAGATAAAATATATGCCTTTACATAAAAGATATTTATTACAGTTAATTCATCAAGAAATCATCATAACACATAGTAATATTAGAAAATAACAATTTAAAAGTTCAACATTGCAGTGTAAAAAAAAAAAAATCTGTTAGAAAAAAGGAAATGCTGGAAAACCATTTTAGTATTCAACAATTATATTTCAAATTTAATTTTTGATTATTTAATATGACCTTACCTTCAAAGCAGCACGTTCGTTATCTTGTCTATCTTGACAAGAGTCATCCATGAGTACATACTTTCATTCCATGTTTAAAAAAATAAACATAAAAGCGGAAGATTAAATTTATTTATCACAGTAAGAAAAACAATAACAATAGTCAGTAATATTAACAGTAACTTTCAACAAAATAACCTAACACTAACTAATAATCACTAAAAGAGCTAATCATCTAGAGTTACAGTGCTGAATAAACAATAGATAACGGCCAGACATACATAGTAGATATAGGTTTTTAAAAACATGTATACTACTAATTAGAGGTATAACCCAACGAGGTACTTATTATAAAGCAATCATATAACACCCATCTTATATGTTTTAATAAAATTATTTGTTCTTTAATATTTTATGAGCTTATTATTATATTGGTGAACAACAATTAATTGAATTAGAGAGACGGAGTTTACTGTTTCTTTTTTTTTTAAACTATGTATATAAGAATATTTTGATCATTAATTTAATTAATAATGATATAATTAAATTATTGACTTTTAAATCAGTATAACATATTTAGGTGATGGTAAAGAAGTTATGATGAATGAAAAAGATTGCCTCGAGCTAGGGATGTGACCGTAGTGGTGGAGTGTAGTGATGGGGCCATATGGCCGGAGCTGTGATTCTGTCACTGTGACTGGATCGGAGATGGTGATCAAAGTGACATGCGCACCGAAATCACAGTGACAATCACTGTAGGCGCTGTGAAATCACTGTACGCCAACAGTGACGATCACTGTGCTCCAACAGTGACGGTCACTGTTGGCGCTGTGAAATCACTGTACGCCGGAGCTGTGCTCCAGCAGTGACGGTCACTGTTGGCGCTGTGAAATCACTGTACGCCGGAGCTGTGCTCCAACAGTGACGGTCACTGTTGGCGCTGTGAAATCGCTGTACGCCGGAGCTGTGCTCCAACAGTGACGGTCACTGTTGGAGCTGTGAAATCCCTGTGCGCCGGAGCTGTGCTGCAACAGTGACGGTCACTGTAGGCGCTGTGAAATCACAGCTCTGACCACTCCGCTCTATCACTTCTTTTTCGTTCTAGCAATCTGGGCAATGTTGACTTCATTAATTTAATAAATGAATTAAAGAAATAATTATTTCTAAAATAATAGTTATTCGTCAAATTTTATTAAAAATACTTTTTGAACTTCAGATGAATTGAGCATTCATTGCCATATATTTCTGAATGAGTTATGTCTGAAATAATTAACAGGGAGTTTTTCATTTAACTGTTGAAATATAAATAAAAAAATTAATTAAAAATTAAATAAATTCAAATATTCTCTGCAGGGCTGTACACAGAAACCAAAGGATCGCAGAGATATCTTCCCTCATCAAATATAAAATTTATCACAGGAAAAAAAAATTATTTTAATATAAGTTTAAACGGGGGCGGGGTGGCCGAATGGGCTAAGGCGTGTGCACATCACCGCGAGTTGCCTGGCAATCGGATTACAGATTTGAGAAGATTTAAAAAGTACGAGTTCGCGTCCCGGTGCCGGAGGGAATTTTAAATTCCCCGCCCTCACCCCTCGGCCCGGGAAAATCCCGTATAGCCTAAAAGGCGAGGTAGGGAAGAACAAAAAAAAAATATTAAAAAAAAATAAATTAAAAAAAAGTATATAAAAATCACTGTAGTGTGACAAATCACTGTGATTTGTCACAGTGATTTTCCCGGAGCTGTCACTGTCGGAGCTGTGACAGAAAATCTCTGTCACACCCCATCACTAGTGGAGTGTCAAATAATAGTGTGGAGCAATCGCGTGTCAAAGAGTCTCGGTTTGGAACGGTGACAACCTGTTCCACTACCTTGGACTTACCGGTCCAGTGACAGTGAAAAAAGGCCTACAAATTACTGAATATGAAATGAAATGAAAATGAAATGAAAATGAAATGAAAAAAATGTTTTATTATTCTGGGACTGTTGTCCCTTAAGAACAAAATATGAATACAGATTATATGTCTGTGTGGCTACAATTAAATTGTATATTTACAATGAAAGTTGACTTACGATAAAAATACAGAAAAGAGAAAAAAAAGAACAAGTAAATTGTACATATGTATGAGAAACTAAAATAACCTTAATAAATTGAGGTAGTCTCTGGTGGTGCTCAGATATTTCTCTAAGATATATTTCACAATCATTCGGATTGAGAAAGGAGTAGGTGCTTAAAGAGGAGTGGTTTAAACGAGGAAACTGATTGAGCGTGTCGAATATCAGCTGGGATGGAATTCCAGAGGGAGGCGGCTTGTATTGCAAAGGATTTGTCAAACGCAGCAGTTCGGTGAGGAGGAGGATAGAGGGCGGAAGTACGAGATCTGGTGGGACGGGATTGGATGGAATATTTGAATTGTAAGCTGTGAAAAATATAGGAGGGTCGATGGGTTCTAATAATTTGGTACAGAAAGGTGGCTAGGAAGTACTGACGGCGATAGGATGGGTAGAGCCACCTCAACTCAGTGTAATACTGGGTAATATGCGTATCCCTTGAGATTCCGAAAACAAATCGTAGTGCGCAATTCATTAGGCGTTTAAGTTTGGCCTCGGAATCTCCCGGGAGTCCACCGTACACCATACAGCCATAGTCGAAGTGGGGGAAAACAAGGGAGGAAACTAGGAGTTGACGGGACTTATATGGAAGGAGATATCGTAGACGATTGAACTGTTTTAGGGTGGAGATAGTGCGACGGGAAATTTGGGAGATGTGAGGTTTCCAGGATAGGGATTGATCGAAAGTAACACCTAGGTTTTTAACGGTGGTGTAGAATAAGATAGGTGAGTTGTTCAGGAAGAGATTGGGAGATACTGGGGAGGATTTGAGGAGTGAAGGGGATCCGATCAAGATGGCTTTTGTCTTCTCGGCGTTCAGAGTGAGCCTATTGAGGTTTGCCCAAGCACTTATTCTGTCAATATCTTCCTGAAGTTTTTGAGTGGCATCTGAGATATCTGTCGGATTAAAGGAGAGGTAAATTTGAATGTCGTCGGCATACAGGTGGTAATGACAGTGCAGGATAGAGGATGGGAGGTCATTTATATAGATGGAGAAAAGGGTGGGGGATAAGGAAGAGCCTTGTGGGACGCCTCTGGTCAGAGGTAGAGATTCTGATGGTGGGTTATTAGGAATTACAACGTACTGGGAGCGACCGGTTAGGAAGGATTGGAACCAATTAAGGGAACTAGAAGAAAAAGAGATATTTTTAAGTTTGGTTAGGAGGATGTTGTGGTCTACTGAATCAAAAGCTTTGGAGAAGTCTAGGAGAATAAGGATGGTTAGTTTCTGCTGATCTATGGCTGTGTGAAGGTCTTGGGAAATTTTGATTAGGGCAGACTGAGTAGAATAACCAGGCCTGAATCCAGACTGGTAGGGATTTAGGAGATTATTGTCCTCTAAAAAATGGGATAGCTGGGATTGGACTAACCGCTCTAATGGTTTTGAGAGGTTTGAAAGGAGGGAAATCGGTCGGAAATCATTAGGAACTGATGGGTTTGAAGTCTTCTTCAATGGGCGTACTAGGGCGGTTTTCCAGGATGTAGGGAAGGTAGCATTTTGAAGAGAATAATTGTATATATGATAAAGGATCGGAAGAATGGATGGCAATGCGGCTTTAATCAGTCTGACTGGGATGTTGTCGGGACCGTAATCATTGGTATGGGACTTCTGAATGGATTTAAGGAGCTCATCTGGTGTAATATGGGAAAGAAAGAAGTGATCAGGATTAAAGGAAGAGAACATAGGAGCCAGACTGGACGTGGGAGATGTGGATGCAAGAGGACAGGAGACAAAGTGAGCGTTGAGGTTATCAGCAGAAACGGAATTGGACTGAGACTGGGGTGTATTACCAATGGTCAGTTTTCTAAGAATAGCCCACGTAGCCTTGGTATTGGGAGAGTTGGATAGGGAATGATGGTAGTAACGGGATTTAGCACGGCGTACTGCTGATTGAGTGCTATTTCGAAGCTGTTTGTAGGAGAGAAAATCATCAGGAAGTCGAGTTCGTTTAAACCGTCGCCTTGCAGCATCTCTTTCTCTCATACACTCCCTCAAAGCAGGGGTAAGCCAAGGAGCTGGAGGATATCGGATGGTTTTTGTGATAAGAGGAGCATGTCGGTCGAGGATAGAGTGAAGTTGAGTGGTAAGGATTTCTACCATGGTGTCTATGGATTTTGAGGAGTAGATGGGATCCCACTGGATATCGTCAAGACCTTCTGACAATGTTTCGTGAGTGAGATAATCTAGGTTTCGGAAGGATATTGTTCGGGGAGAAAAGGATGGAACAGGGACATTGTAAGAGATCTGGACAAGATCGTGGGAAGATAGAAACGGAACCGGGTGCTGAGATGCGGCAAGGAGTTTGTCTGAGGAATCCAGGATAATTAGATCGAGCCAGGACTCTGAATACTGAGTATGATGGGTTGGATTGTAGGGTACTATGTAAAGGCTGAGAGAATTAAAGAGGTTTGTTAGGTAGGAATAATCAGAGGATGGTGCCAGTAAATTGGTGTTAAAGTCACCGGAGAGGATGATGTTTGAGTAGGAAGGGATTAAGTTGTACAATAAAGTCTCAAGTGATTCATCGAAAGGAATTCTAGGAGGGCGATATATGACAGCAAACAGAATGGCAGATGAGGTGGTGAGGATTTCGGCGAAAAGGTATTCAACGTGCGGAGAATCGGTTATGGAAGAGCAGTGAAGGATTTTGGATTTGAGACTGTCATGGACAAAGAGACCTACTCCACCACCCGTGCGATCTACTCTGTCATGACGAAGGAGAGTATAGTTAGGTAGAAGGATCTGGGAGGACGGGATTGTGGGTTTCAACCAGGTTTCGGATACGGCAATTAAATGGTAGAAGTTATGGAGAAAAAAGTCGTAAAATTCATCAAAATGGGCTAAGAGTGACTGAGCGTTGACGTGGCAGGTTAGAAGGATATTAGTCATGGAAGAAGGAGGGGTGGCTTGGTAAACGGACAGAAGGAGTTAAGGATAGGAATATTTCTACAGCAGCTAGAGCCAATTGTGTGCAAGATCTCCTAGATATTAATAAGGATGGTAAACAAAAAATATAAAATTTAGTTAACGAAAAGCATATTCCTATTGTGCAAAAGAAAAAAAATACACAAATTAGAGTTTCTGAACAGATCAGACCTAAAATATTCTCATAAACAAAAATGAAATTATTATCATAGTCTATTATTAAAACAAACGCAACAAAAACATAAAACTGGGGATATAAAAAAGTAAAAACAAAATTGTTCAAAGTGATGTAACATGTATATGCATGTCAAGCAAACGTGTCTAAATCTGATGGTGAGTTGATGACGACGACCTGCTGTCCATCGTCTCGTCGACATTTCACCTTGCCTGCGCTAAACCAACTGTACCTGATTTTTCCTGCAGACCTCTTTTGCCGGGCCAGCCAGTACAGGTGTCTGTTGGTTACGGACATAGCTTCGCTCAGGTAGATCTTGTGGGCGTCATTTTCTTGCCATCCGAGGTGACGTGTTGAAAAATCCCTAATGACTTTTCGCCTCTGGATCAACTCATCCCTAAGCGACTGCCGGACGAACCTTACCACAAGCGGCCCAGGTGT